CCAGTTGCCGTGGAATTAATTCTGACTCATGGCGACCCCATGCGTGTTAGAGCAGAACTACACTCCGTAGAGTTTTCAGTGGTAGTTTTTCAGATCACTGGGCCTTTTCTTCTCAGGTGCCTCTGGGTGGAAGAGAACCACCACTTTCAGTTAATAGCAAGCACGTAACTGTTTGCACTTCCCAGGGACTGTAGTAGGCCCTTGCAGCTTCTTCTATACTAGTCCTGGTAGCTGGCTTGTAGCTAGCTATCGGTAGTAGTTGTTGATGCTGGATGTATTACCTTGAGCCACAGCTTTTGGTGCCAGAAACTTAGAAGTGACTTTAAAAAATATGTATATATCTGAGCTTAGTCCATCCAGGTTAGATAGACTTGAGAGCATAATGGGACAGTGGCAGGAACAAACTTGGGACTCTCTTGTCCTTCCTAATTTGAGGGTGTTGTGCAAACTAATTTTTCAGAGCCTGTTCTACCTGCACAGTGAGGATGACAACAGCTGGCTCTGCATTGTGATTTAATACTTACTTTCTTGACAGTTATAAGCACCTGTTCTTTTTCTAATTTTAAATATTTCATGATCTGAGTATTCAAGTCGTTGGCTGCCTCACTTTGTAAACTGACAAGTCTAGACCAGGCTCTGCTGAGCATCTTGGTTTCCCCTGTGCTGGGGCCTGATGGGCTGCCCAGAGCCCCCTGAGGAGTTGTGCCAGGTTAGCAAAGGGCATGCCTGCTATTCCTGTAGTACCGGATATGGGTTTGAAGACAGCTCCTTTATTGGGCCTAGTAGAGTCATACATCCCAAGGCATTTTATCTTGTTGCAGATACTGAAAGCAGGGTAAGTTGTGGTGGGGGCAGTAACCTGGATGGCTTTTCTCCAGTGATTTCTGCAGTCCACCTCACTGATGCTGATCAGGTTATCCACCTCATGCCTGAGCCCACCAGACTACAGAAAGGCTGTGGTAAGGCAGACTAACGAATGTGGCCACATACCATTTACTTCCCTCGGTCAGATAGTCCAGTTTCACCATCTTTTATTGGATACAGAGCCATAAATTCTGATGCCCACAGGAGTCGTTTTAAATACATATACTCAGGTACATTCGCAAGGGCATCTATGGGTGATGTGTAGCAAAGTGCTGGGATGGTGATGCCTGGGTAGGGCAGAGAAGTGGGGCCAGGGAAGGCCCCCTGGGGGCTGGAGGTACAGGCACCACTTCAGAAATTTACAGAAAAGTACAACCAAAGAAAAAGCTCTCCACACTTTTGCCTGATGTGCTTAGAGTGGGCAAAGCTACCCTCTCATGGCTCAGGCCCATCATAGGCTGCTATGTGGGGAAGGCAGGGCCTGGGGCACAGTTGTAGAGGCCTCCACCAGTAGAGCCCACTAAAGCCAAGCCTGTTGGCACCAGCCACAATGTCAGGCCTGTTCACCTCAGGCCTCTGCCTGAATACAAGGCCCCTTTCAGGGCAAGAACTGAGGATGGGGAGCCTGAGGCCAAGCCTTCCTAGGGCCATGTTAGTGGTGGCACAGGAGGCTAGGACCCTGGTAGGGAAGCCTGCCTGATTGTTTTGAGACTGGCTGGGGGTTCCAGGGGTTGGGGGGGAAATAGGGGCTGGTTCCCTTAGCTGGCCTTGGTATTCTGATCCTCACCCACTCCTCTAAACTTTATCCTCAGGCAAGGGCTGCATTTGAACACACCTGTCCAGGAATAAATACATACACACAACGCACAGCAGTATATACAGAAATGCAGGCCTGGGACAAGGGTGGGTGAGGAAACATGGCCACTAGGGGTAAAGAAAAGTGCCACATCCCCAAGAGAGGGAAGGATACTCATGGACTGGGATTGATCCCACTGATAGGAGTTAACTTCTCTGGGTACTCAGTTCCTGCTTCCACTTCCTCTCTCCTGTTTTCACCCTAAGCCCACTGGGAACTGGGTTTTCGGTACCCCTAGTCACTCTGGGAAGGCCTTCCTCAGATTAGTGCCTTAGAGGGATTTGGGCCTGGGCAGCTCCCCCTTATGGCCCAGAGTATTAGAAACCAGAACTAGGAGGACAGATGGGACCCAAAGGCAAAGGGCAGGGAGTTAAACCTTAGGGCAACAGACCTTGGGAAGAAGGCCCCTTTTTTTAAAGCAGTTCCTTAGAAGCTGGTTACTCATCAAGGAACTAGGAAAACATAAGATGCCTTGATCCTTAGGTATTCCATGAAAAGCCTGGGCAGCTCATGCTCTTCGCATAGCAATTTGAGTGAATGCATCATCTGCCTTATTGCCTGCCAGAGCTGTGGGGAAGTAGCCTGAATGAAGCATGATGAAATATTCTAGCCAAATATGCCATATTTCCCAGGTGCTGAGGCCAGGCTGTGTGGCAGGAGGAGTGGTGGTAGGGACACAAAGTGGCCTAACTCTAACCATGCCTGGAGCCCCTAAAGTAGAGCCTGCCTTGATTTGCTTTCAGTCTTCTTAACTTCTTAGGGATGAGACATGAAGGAGGGCTGCCCTTTGGGTGGGTAGAGATGGGATGAGGTGCTTCTAGGGATGGCCAGGCTTTCCATCCTTGTTCCCACCCTCAGCCCTAGCCATGTGGCTGTCAAGGGAGTGAATAATGGAGTGTCTCAGCAAGCAAGCAAAAAGCTCCATTCAGCAGCAGGGCTCACCTCCCCTGAGGCAAAAGAATAGCATTAAGTTGTTGGAATTGGGGTCCTATAAAGCTGCCAGTTCTTGGGACATGCCACTTCCACTGGGAAGGGCTTGGGCACCATGTCTTCCCACACACAGCTGGAAAATACAGGGGACTTGGCTGGGCTTCCTGGCCAAACCCATGGGAGGCCAACTTCCCACTAGGCTGAGAGGAGAGGTCAAGTTCACCTTCATGCCCCTAGTGTTGGTGGTACACAAGGCTGTTGGCACAAATAAGAACAAGTAAACGAACTTATGACCAGCATGACACCTTTCAGCACTACCTTTCTCCCACTCACTGCCCATTCACCCTGATCTTTTGCAGGGTTGATGCCAGGCATTCCAGTGAGCACCCACCCAGTGAGAAATTGCCCAAAGCCAGTATATTCAGGGATGGAGGTTTCCTGGAGCAGAGAAGCCACTCCATTAGACAAGCTCAGACCAGATGGGACATCCTTTGTGCTTTGTCCAGGAGACGGAGGGCAGCACCTCTGGTCCTGGGATTGATTGTAGAAAGCAAGGGCTACAGGGGGTGCAGCTGGCAAGGAAAGACAGATACACCCAGAGCAGTCAGGCCCTGAGTGGACTTCCACTCCCCTTCCAGGCCCCTGGAGGAGAGAGGAAAGTTGTGCTCCTCCCCATAGCTCCTAGGGACAGGGCTGGGGAGGTAGGAGGTTATGGAGCCAGCTGCTTTGGGGTAGTGTTGGGAGTATCACACATAGCCAAGGCTTCGTGTAGTACTGGGCAGGGACGTGTCTATGACACCCTTGGTATTCTGGGTTTTCAAAGCTCAGGGATAGAACAAGCCACGGAAGGAAAAGTCAGAGCTATGATGAAAAGCCACTGGGACAGCCAAGGAGTGGAGCTGGAGAGCTGGGGTGAGCCTATAGGGTCCCAGCCCTGGAGAGCTGATTGATTACAAGGTAACTCAGGGCTGGCCTTGATGTCCAAGCCAGGATGTGGTAGAAAGATGGATCTCTGGAGAGGACTGGGAAAGGAGAGGACCCCAGCCCCAGCTGGAACCAGTCAGCTTGATGACTAGGGCTGGGAGCCGGTCCTGTATAGGAGAGAAGGAAACCCCAAGATGGAGCTAGGTTAGATGTTTGGAAGAATGTTCCAAATGAAGGCTGGCAAGATCCAGTCTCTGAGCCATTGTAGTTCTGAGAGGAGGAACCCGGGACACCTGAGTGTTCAGAGCCTTAGTGCTAGGACCTGGGCTTTGGGGAACCTTGCAAAGATCAGTGAGAACCCCCATTCGTATTCTGTGGTTTCTAAGCCAAGTGGCTGTGGCTCAGGCCCCTGCTCAGCCCCCAGGCAAAAGAACCCCAAGGCAGCCCTCTTCCTTGGCTCCATATTGTCAGTCACGCTAGCTAGACAAGGGACAAACTGAACCACCCTCCTCCAGGTCTCCTTCAGTCTCCCCTCCCAGACAGCCTTGGGGACCCACAGGCCATTAGATTCCTGCCCAAGCACCTAGATTAGGAGGAAATTCCATGAGGACAGGAACAACTTCTCTCGGCTGACAGGGTTTCCTAGGGCTGGGACCTTGACCCTCCAGAGGCTCAAGTGGAAGGCAGGTTAAGAAACATGCACCTTTTAGCTCTGGATTTAGTTCTGGTGTGTAAGGGTTGGGAGGAAGGGTCTCGTCTTTTACAGAAATACTGTTTTCTCCACCTAGAAATTCTTCCCGTTGGCAGGTGGTCTCAATATCCTGGAGAGAAGTTCTGGATGAATGTTTCGCCTTTCCAAACCCATCCCTATCCGTGTTCACTACCCCACTGCACTCCCACCCCTAGCATTCACCAACTACATGCCCAGACCTTGAGGCCCATCTGGAGAACATGGACCCAGAGCCAGGGTGGGCTGTCTAAAGGGAGTATCCCAGAGCCCTGAGGGCAAAGCAGGTGGTAAAAGCCCCACATGCCAAGTCTGAGCTGCCCGCTAGAGCCCCCTCTGGCCTGGGGCCTAGCAGAGGTCCCTGACAGGGTGACTGGCCTTCAGGAACGGGTGGGAGCCTGCTTGTATGGGCGAGGAGCCACTAGGTGGTTATTGCAGGTCCCCAGACAATGATATCAGGTGCTGGTGGTGACTTAGCTCCTCACTGCCCAGGCCCAGAAGGCAGCTTGAGCCACAGATGGGCTGGGGGTCAGAGGACAGCCTCTGTTCGAGCCCTTGCCATGGGGAGGCAGTGCCAGGGGGTCAGGTCTGTTGTTCCACTGTCTTGGGAGGAGGATGGGAAACTGTCAACCCCTTCTTGGAAGTCAGGGATGACACTAGGCCTCTGAAAGTAATCCAAAGCAGAGTCCAGAGTTCCAAAGAGTGCCCTGATGTGGGGCTGACGGGGGCCCTGCTGCCCCCTCACCCGGGTTAGCAGCCGCTTTCCACCTTGATGTGCAGGATCTTGGAGAAGCCGGGCCTCCGCCGCAAGGCCTGTGGACAGAACCCTGGGTTGGTTTTCCCCATGGACCTATCAGGTGGGGTCTTCCCACAACACTCACCCAGGGCAACCCAAGTTCCACCTAGGCATACAACTTGGGGTCTTAGGTGGCCTCAGGCCCAGACTCCTCACCTGGAGTTTTGTCACCATGTCCTCAAACAGCTTCTGGGCCTCAGGGCTGCTGGGCTCTTTGAAATAATCAGCAATCCCGATCTGGACGACAATGGACTTGAGGTTCCGACAAATGCCTGAGAAAAGGAGGGTAAGATGGGGGCTCATGTTTGGCCTGGGCAATGGGACGCCTCCCTTCTCATTAATGATTCAAATCACAGACACCCACTGAGCGCAACCATGTGTCAGTGACAGAACATGAGGAGTAGTGCAGACTCAGGCCCTCCAAGAGCTCACGCTGGCCATAGGGAGAAGCTGAAAGATGGGGCTGAGGGAAAGGGGAGGCTGCAGCCACCTCTGGAAGGATAAGGAGATATCAGCCAATTGTGCAGGGGCTCCGGGAGCTTTTCTGGCAGAGGGGACAGTTGTACTAGGGCCTGGGATTGGGAAATGAACAAGGAACTGAAAGGCTGAGGTGAGGAGATAGATCTAAGCTGGAGCATAAAGGAAGGGGAGATAGGGAACAAACAAGTTGGGAACAGAGGGCTCAAGGGACTGGTATCTTCATGGAGTCAGGAGGAATAGCAGCAAGATGGTCAAGAGACTGAAGAGCCCTGGAGATTATGACTTTGGAGTCTGAGCAGTTAGTTCTGTTTGTAAGGTCCAGGATGTAGCCATGAGGCTGAAGGGGAGTGAAGGTCAGGGTACCAAGTGGTCAGGGGATAGGGTCCTCCTAGAGGCCAGATGGTCCTGGATGATGGTCTCATTTAAATGCAGGACACGCGAGTCCTCAATAAAGAGAGAGAAGTGACTGGGAGTGGAGTGGGGGAGGTGGGGCTGAAGGAGGCATGCTTTGGAGTCTATACCAGGGAGAAAGGAGCCTTATTCACCTTGAGAACTGTCCTGAGAAGGGTGCTTACATACATAGCACTTAATCTTCCCACCCAGTCTAGAAAGTCATTCTAGAAGATGGGCATAACAGGACTCAGAGAGATGCAGTTAATTCGCTCAAAGGCACCTTACTAGCACTGGAGCCAGAATTGGGACCAAGCTCAGTCCAGAACCTACACCCTTAAACCATCTGCTCTCTTGCCTCTGCATGTGGCCTCATGAGCTGGGGCTGGGCAGCTCATGTCTCCAAGATGGGTAAAGCACATGGCAAGTTAGGTCTGTTGAAGTGAACTATGTTGACCAGATGCTGGCAGGCCACCAGACTCAGAAGCCACTGGTGGCCAAGCCAGGACTAGAACTCGGGTCAGTTTGCTCTTAGTGCCAGTGCTGGCTGATTAGGAGTGGTAGCGAGTTGGTTATGTAACTTGCTAACAGGACGTGGTGAGGGATGACAGTTGAACCCAAACTCGCATTCCCCCATGGCTCACTGTTGAAATGCAGCAGTGCCTTAGGGGTGACAGGGGTGGCGGTGAGAACCAGCATCTCCAGTCCCTTCAGTCCTTCCCGGCAGACCTCGGCCGCCACCTCCTGAGTGATCTCTGACACGTGGTCCAGCTCCAGGACCTGTAGCCGCATGCAATTTCTCGCTGGTGAGAGGGAGAAAGAGATGACATCCTGATGACAAACTCTCCGGGTCACCTCCTACCTGGCACCCTGGTGCCTCTGGCCACCACCCAAGTTCCTCTGAGACTTAACAGTGTAGTGTTGGCACCGTGACTGGCTCCCACCAACCCCCACCCCAGTCCCAAGGAAAGACTCACCAAGTGATGCCAGTCCCTGTACCCCACAGCCGGCACCCCCAACCCCTAGGGCCCGGAGGTGGGGCCAACAGCGACCGATCATCTGCAGGCAGCGGTTACTGAAGCGTGTGGGCTGCTGGCTGGAGAACAAGGTGGAGGGAGGTGGTCAGGGAAGCCTCTGGATGTATGACACCCATACATGCTCCTTAGGGGCCCCCTCTCAGGTAAGGGCCCCATTTACCACCCAGCTGCTCAAGTCAGAAAACTCAGATCATTCCTGACTCCTCTTCCCTCACCTCCCACTAAGTCCTACAGATTCCAATTCCTGAATAACTCTTAAATCCACAATTCAGACCACCATCATTTGTCTGGACTATAACCAATCTCCCTGCCAATTCATCCTGCACATTGCTGACAATAAGCCATTCATTCACACATTGACTCAATCACTCAATAAATGTTTATTAAGCCATTACTACAGCCAAGAACCAAGCTAGGCCCAGGGGTACAGGGATGAACAATATAGGTATGGTACTTGCCCTCAAAGAATGTACAGTCTGGGGGATAAAGAGGACACAAAACATATACCAGTGATCTTCATCCCTTTCTTAAAAGCCAAAAGCCCTCAGTGGCTTCCCAGCACTTTCTAGATAAAACGCAAAAATATAAAAACCTTTAGCAAGGCCCTTTGTGGTCCTGCCCTAGCCTTCCTTTCACACTCATTGCTTTGTCCTCCCACTCCACTTACACCAAACTTGCTGTTTCCCTGAACACTTCATCCCTCAACATTCATCCAAGGCAACAGACATATTTCTGGTGTCTGCTACGTGTTTGGCACCAGGGATACAAAAACGGACTTTCACAGCCTCTACCCTGAGAACCAGTAGTCTAGCGTGGGAGATCAAAATATGAAGAAATTATTTCAGAATGTACTACAACAAAGGTGAGAACAAGGTGCTCTGGGGAGTGGGATGGGGGGACAGTAACAGCCTCTACATGGGGTGACAGTGAAGGATACTGAATAACCTAGGAGGAGATGTTATGTGGAAAGAGGGCTTGGGGACAAGGATGCAGATACATAAAGCCTGGTATGTTTTAAGACCTCCAAGTAGAGTGATGTATGACTTTCACACTCTGGATTCTCAAACAACCAACTATCCTGTACTGACCTCCCTGAACTGCCTTTCATTTGGCAAACAAACATTTTTTTAGCTAGTGTTTACTGAACACTTAGTGTGCCCTGCAGGCTTTATGACCTCATTTGAGCTGCAACAGCCCTAAGAAGATCAAAAGATTCTCATATCACCTTCACTTTGCAGGCAAGACTGGGTCAGGTAACTGGCCCAAAGTCACACTGCTAGTGACCCCAGGTCAATTTCAAAGCCTTGCTGAACACCTTTGCTACACTGTCTAAACGTACAGACTGATGGTGTGTGAACATATCTCCCCAACCAGCTTATGGGATGGACCCAAACCCAGCGCATCCCAAGCCATCCCTCTCCACCCTGCCAGGGCTCACCAGGGGTGGAGTGGTGCCACCTGGAGGGAGACAATCTCTCTGCAGCCTGCACCCAGGGCCCAAATGACCTCATGGCCCACAGGGTCTGTGGCACTCCTGTTGAAGACAAAGTTGGAGCTGCTCATGTTGGTGGCCTCTGCTCCTGCTAAGGCTTCCTTCCCTTGAACCACAAAGTTCTTGGGTCCCTTCAGCCAAGGGAAGGTGTGCAGAGGCTCAGGAGCCTTTGGGGCCCAAGGTCAAGAGCATATGGACCTTGCTTCTGATAGGGAGGACCCACCTGTAAGTGACAGCCTGCAGGGCACGGCAGTAGCAGCTGGCCAGCCAGAGTGAGCGGTCGGTGAGGATGTTGGGGCAATGGGAGATGCGTAGGATCAGCAAGTTGCCCCCGGCTGCCTTCAGCAGTGATTCTAATCCCGCTTCCAGGCAGCCTCTAGGGATGGCCAGGAGAACAAGGAGCTGCTCATGGCCACCTTCAGTAAGCACTGAGGCTCAATTCTGGGCCTGCAGCCCAGGAGCACCCAACCACCCACTCCCTGCGGGCCTCACCGGGTACTCCTGGCATACTCCTCCTTGCTCTCCTTCTTGCCCCGCTGCCGGGGCTTCAAGTTCTGCAGGGTTAGCGAGTGGGCCTGGGTGCACCACTGAGCCAGCATTGCCAGAAACTGCAGAGAAAGGGGAGTTCCCCAGGGGCAAGGGGGGTCTGAACTTGGCTGGCTGGAGGTGGGCCGGCCCTGGGATAGGAGGCCCCATAAGCATGCTGAGGGGAGACAGGTAGCAAGGACCAGACCTTGAGCAGCTACTACTTGGGAGGTCAGATAGATGCTACCAAGGGGGACTGTATGTTCATAGCAGGGGTGAGTGGGAGGGGCAGGGCAGGCACCTTGGAACAGACACGGGCATTCTCCAGCAGCACCCGTGTCCAGACAGCGGGGTGGCGAGCCACGAAGCGCCAGTCTCGGCAGACCTCAGCAGCATGCAGCAGTGTGCGTGTGTCCAGGTAGGTGAAGATGCAGAACAGGGCTGCTCTCATCTTGAGGATCTCCGGGCTGATGACCTCATTGGAGCATGAGGGGCTACTCCGCTCGGCTCGCTGGCCCCGCCCACTGCCTCCCTCAGAGCGGGCTGTAGAGTACCAGGGGGCAAAGGTGAATGGGAAGGGTCAAAGGCCAGCACAGGGATATTTACTGGTGGCAAGTTGGGCAGGGCTAGGAGCTGTAGGAGGAAGGGGTGTGAGAGACTCATACTGGAGATCAGTGACTTTGGAGTAAGGACAAGGAGCCTCTTTTCTCCTCTGTATCACCCCATCCCTAATTCTGTGAATTAGAAAAGGGGTCTCTTTCTCAAGTAAGCTTTTTTTTTTTTTTTTTAAGATAGTATATTATCAGTCCAAACTCACCCCCCAGATGAAACAACTAAGTCAGGTTTGGAGAAGTAAAGGTGCTAGGGGCTAGAATATGCATGGATGGAAATGGCCTCTATGAAACAGAAGACCACCTGGAGCACATCATTTGGGGCACAGCTATACCCTAATCCTCTAACCTCCTAATGCCTTAGCCCCTGAGCCTTAACCTACCTACATGTGCATGGCCTTGTGGGCATGGGTGGGTGCATGCAGGAGGGGACTCTCTCATACTGCTCCAGGGGCTGTAGAGTCTGGAATCAACACTCAAGTACTCTGTTAATGAGCCAGTCATGTAAATGGGCCCCCTTAGATGTGGTGTCCTGAGCAATACACAACCAGATCACTTTTGTGCTGCAATCCTGCCTGCCCCATGTGCTGTGTAGGAGAGAGTATATAATCCTCATTGTGGGCAAATTTGGGGCAAAGAAAGGGGGGTGTAGAAAACCAGCAGATTCACCAACTAATCTAGAGTCCCCGAGTGGAACCGGCACCATGGGAAAGGCTGCCTTGTCTGCCCATCCTCCTGGAACCTACCTGAGAGCCGGCAGCTGCTTAGAGGCCCAGCAGGTCCAGGGCGGGGGGCATCAGAGGAGCCCTCAGCCTCTGACTCAGTGGTACGGGAGCCCACATCTGAGACGTCACCCTCCTCCCCTTCAGTGCTGTGTCGGCGGGGTCTACGCTGCCAGTTCTGGATGGCCTGGCGCCGCAGGCCTGAACTTCTAGGGGGCTGGGACCGCTCCGAGCCACTGTTAGCACCCTGGGCCCGTGTGCCCAAGCCCCCAGGGCCACTGTCCTCAGGGGCCCCCTCTTCTGGCCGAGGCAGCTCCAGACTGTCGCTGTCATAGCAGCCTGAGCTCTGGGATGCAGCTGGCACACGGCTGGAGGCCCTGGGGCAGGGTGGACCAGATGGTGAGGGTGAGGGGCACCAGGCCTTCCCTAACTCCCTCCCCCCACCAACCATGGACAGCCCACCCACCCTGCTTTCCAAAAGCCCCCTCTGAGTGTGGAAAGGCAGACATAGGTGACCCACAGTGGACTAGGGAAGAAGGAGGGGACAAGCCCCTAAATGAGCCAGCCATCCAATAGCCAGTGGCTCTTACCAGGGTAAGGGTGGGCTGCATGGGGCGGGCCAGGGACGAGGCTTACCCTGTGCTGGGAGAGGAGCCATGCCGTGACACCGCGTATGTGCTAGGCACGGCCGGGCCCGCGTGGTGCTCTCGCTGTGGGCCCCAGAGCGGGAGGGAAAGGAATGGGGGGCAGAGGAAGCAAGAAGGTGAGAAGGAGCAGGAGAAACAGCATAGAATGGAGAGAAGAGAGGAGGGAGAGGAGAGAGAAGAAGGAAAAAAGTTGGGAAAGATGGACGAATGGACAGACAGACAGCCCAGAGAGGTAGGCTTACCAGCCCCCTCCCCACACCCACCCAGCGCCCCAGCCCCTGGCTTGTGGCTCCTGGGTTTTCATTTGCAGGGTGGGGGATGGGAGTAGATGAGCTTCTGAAGGCAAGATCGCTGGAGCACACCACTCTATACCTTCAGGGACATGGCACTTCTGTCCAATCAGGGATCCTCAGACTCTGAACTCCTACCCCAGGCCTGTAGCCTGCTCTTGAGGGAGGAGCCAAAAAAGGCAGCCAGGAGCATTGTGGGGGCGACTGTGGGGGCTAGCTGTGCAGGTGAAGGAGGGAAAGCAGGTGGATACTCACTCACCATCCGGCCTGGGCCCCGGGGACCAGGCCCAACAGCACTGCCCCCACCTCCACGACCCAGGCTGGCGCTGGGTGTGCTGCCACAGCTGCTGCTGATGACCTGCAGCTGCCGTTCAGCTCGGTCAGCCCGCTCCAGGAGCTCCTCAATGAACTGCTGCAGCCGAAGCTTGGCACTGGCCTCCCTTGCTGCTGTCTCCTTCAGGAATTGGTCGATCTGCACCACCTCCCTGGGCCCAGAGCAATCTATTACCCTACTGCCTCTGCTTGGCTGCCCACCCACCCTCTGGGCGAGACCCTAGCCTATGGAAAGGCATAGAGCACAGAGGTCTACTTGTGGTCACATAGATACATGCAGAACAAGCCCAGGCACACTGCACCTCACAATGGCACACACACAGAAATGCAGGCATACACTCAGAGTCACACTCAACACTCTACCTACCCTGTCCCACACACTCAACCAGACACCACTGATCCCCACAGAATTATCACAGGCATACTCAGTCACACAGTGACACCTTGTCTCCCCAGAAACATTGACAATCATAGAGTCATATACACCCACCACACACCCACACACCCACACACCCACACACTCTCCCATCACACAGCCTCCCACCCACACACAGCCACCCACCATAACCAGACACATTCATATCACACAGAAACAGACATACTCAGTTACATACATCCTCCCAACACAGAAACTCAAGCACAGCCACATACACAGAGCACTATACATAGCCCCATGTCTAACCACACACATTCATGTATATGTACTCACTCATTCTTAGGCACACATGTACAGCTTAGAATTCATGTCTTACAGACATATAGAACCATGGATACACACTCTCCCAGCAACACATTCAAACACACACATTTTCAGTCCTACAGAAATATTAAAAAAAAACACACTTGAAGTCATATCAACACACAGAAAAATACACTCGGATGCAGACACATGTTTACAGTTGCACCAGCCTCCAGGAGTTGCATGAACGAACACACAGTCTCTTAAGCATTTCCACCCCAGTGCATTCACAGTTGTCCATTCATCCATTCCACATTTATTTAGCACTACAATGATGTGGATTGTAACCTCCCCAAAAATACGTCCATCCAAGTTCTAACCCCTGGCACTTGTGAATATGATCCTATACGGAAACAGGGTCTTTGCAACTATAATTAAGAATCTCAGCATAAGATCACACCGGATTGAGAGAGGGCCCTAAATCCAATGACTGATGCTCTTATAAGAGAAAGGAGAGGAAGACTTGAGACACAAAGTTCTCCTCTGTGGGTCATGTGAAGACAGAGATTGAAGTTATGCAGCCATAAGGCAAGAAATGCCCAGGACTGTTGACAGCCACCAGAAGCTAGGAGAGAGGCATGGAAAGGATTCTCCCTCAGAGCCTTCAGGAGGAACCATCCTTCATTCACCACTCTCTCAGTCCAAAACTTGATTTTGGACTTCTGCCTTCCAGAACTGTAAGGGAATAAATTTCTGTCGTTTTAAGTCACCAAGTTTCTAGTAATTTGTTATGGCAGCCCTAGGAAACTGATACCAGCACCTTCCAGGGGCCAGGCACCATTCTAGGTATTGGGCATACAGCAGTGAACAAAAGAGAAAATTCCCTGACCTCATGAAGTTTCCATCACAGTAAGTACATATAAATAACATCCATACACTTTGTAGGCAAGAGAAATAAGGGGGAGCCAAGAAAGAAGACTGAGAAGGAAGAGACAAAAAGATGGAAGGAAATCCCAGAAAAATGTCCTGGAAACCAAGAAAGAATGTGTCAAGAATCAGCTGTGTCACTGCTGGTGGGACTGTAAAATGGTACAACCATTGTGGAAAGCAATATGGCAATTCCTTCATAAGTTGGAATTAGAAATACTATTTGATCCAGCCATCCCATTACTAGGTATATACCCTAAAGAAGTGAGAGCCATGACAAGAACAGATATATGCACACCC